GAAGATTATTGATAATTGTTATATTGGGAAATGATCAACTTTTATCAGCGATTGATGTAGTAGATGGGGACCCAACGAAATGAATTAAATCAAAATCTATACAAGTGACATTTTTAAGATAACATATAATGACTACGAAACAACTAAAGGCATTCATATGATTGTGCAATGTATCGAATGAAAATGTGTTTGTTATAATTTGTTAAACTACTATATACCCCTCTTTATATTCTTCTTGTGGTTAACACATATTTATTATGTACTGTTGTTGCTCGTATGAGTTATTGTTGAGCATGCATATTATTTTTTTTTCTTTTTTTTTTGAATATTATTTTAGCATTGATTATTTCGTTAAACATGTAGCTTATGGATATTATATTGTTGTTTTTCAGGGATGGTTAAAGGGCATCGAGGCAATTAGTTAGTTAGAATATTATAAAGCTTTTGAGTTGTAAAATTTTGAAAATGTGAAGACTTTGATATTTATATTTATATACTTGATATTTAACGTTTTTGTATATATTTTGTGAAATTGTTGTGCACGTTTGTGTTGAGAATGTGAATAAATATTGAGTCGAATTGAATTGCTTATGTTGACAACTATTAAACGAGATAATTTCGTTGTCCACAGAGTCCTGATTACTGGAAGTCAGAATGAATCTTGGTGAGAATTGTGTTTGATTGAGTCAGCCACATCTACTACACCACTGCTTAGATTTTAGAGGAGTCAATTGAGTGTGACGGAAAGCGGATCAGAGTATGATTGAATGAAAATAACAATGGAAGTGTGTTTTGACTTAGAAGAATTAGGAATGAGATTAAAATATTAAATGATCAATACAAAGCAATAGACTAACTGAATTTGAGGTAGCTAATTTATATCATGTACAATATAATTATTATATAATAAACTAACATGAGCAATAAATTACAAAATCACAAGAAATTATGTCTGAGAAATTATCAGAAATAATTGAGGGTTGGTTCTCCAGACCACTTACAGATTCAGAAATGCTGGCAGAAAATTATTCTAATAGAAGTGTGATTCAAAATAGAACAACTGAAGAAGCTCGATTTAGTGAATTGCATGATATTGTTAAGTTGTTATCTCATGTGGTTAAAATATGACTTTTATTGAAAATTCTTCTATAAACATTGGTTAAAGCTCTGAGTATTGTTCAAAAGTTGATCAGCATTTGAGGATCTTTTAGATATTTAATCCACATGCATTCAGGAGTCTCAGTAATCCTACAACTGTTGAAGATTGGGAAGATTTTTAATGATATGAATTGTCCAGAGAACATGAGTCGTATTAGCCACTTCATGTCTAGAAACTTTAATAATTTGAAGGAATTAGTCTAAGATCTATAGGATAAAAATGGTAATATTTTCATAATCAAAACTTAATATTATTGCTTGGCTTATGATCAGATTTTAAATGACTGTATTGCATAACCATAATTTCAGTCATGCTAATATTAATGATAGATGTTGCATTCACCATACATGTCTAAGAGATGCATGCTTGCTCCTCCTATTTGACCTGCTACATGATTTATACAAAGTTAGGTGGTTTGTCTATAATGTCTATGATGTTGAGATGCAGACCTGACTCAAACAGGATTATATCCCTTATAGAGTAAGTTTGGCGCTTGTAGTCAGATTTATTCATTTCTCTTCATTTCATATGCACATTATCATTCTCTACCTTACCTTTTAACATGAAAGTGGATAATATCATTCTCTTGTTCTCTAGACATCTCATACTATCAAGAATTTTTTTCAGTCTTCAAAAGTTGTACGGTCATTGGAACCCTTGAATGCAGGTTGCTGGGCCTATTTGAGATCGTTTTTTGTTTTTTATTTTATTTTATTTTTAGTTGGTTATTTTTGTTTTGTTTTTTTTGTTTTTTTCTTTTTTATTTTTAGAAAATGCATTTGATACTGTTATGATTTATATATTTTTAAAAATAAAAAAATATAAAACATATTTGGTGGCATATTTTTTATTTTTTTAAAAGAAAAAAACTTATAGTTTTCATAAAATGGTTGAGTTCACGTGCACTCCAGTATTAAGCTCTACAGCCCATATTATATATGACGTCTTCCTTGATCCACCCAACATAGAACATTACCTGTGTGCAGCCAGCGGCCGGCAGACAGGCAGTAGATGTTGGTGGCAGCGAGCGGCGAGCGACAGTTGGCGGGGTTGGTGGTGACAACTGGAGGCTGCCAAAGGCGGTGAGCGTCAACCACGGCTGGCTGCGGCGGCTAGCAACAATGGGCAATGGGTAGTGACAGGTGATGACTAGAGGCCGACGACAGCGGTGGATGCGGCGGGGGGGGGGGCGCGGGGGGGGGGGGTCCGGGAGGTGGCGGCGGAGACAACTGGGCCACCGCGGGGGCTGGTAGCGGCTGACGGCAGGCGGCGGCATGAGGCGGGAGGCAGCAAAGGGCTAGGCGAAGAGCTTTTTTGGTGTTTTAAAAATAGACAAAAATATGTTTTTTTTTGTTTTTAGTATTTTAAAAATAGGTGTGTTCTCCCAAAAAATAAAAAAAAACATAAATAAAACAAAAAACATATAGACAATCATTGTTTCTATGCTTGGTTCCTATTTTTTTGTTTTAAAAAGAAAAAAAAAACAAAAATTGATCCCAAACAACCCCTAATTATTTGTACCATACTCAGATCTTGACCTGTTATTTGTGGAGGATCCTTCAATAGAATCCATTTGTCTTCTACCTAGGATATCAACTTAAAAATAACATACAATTCGTTAGGTTGAGCCTTTTTAATTGTTTTATTCTTGATCTCATTTCTAGTTGAATTTTTTTTATAGCATTTTTAGATCTGTACGTGGTCTAGAAGAGTACATTCAATTATTTATGATATTTTATCCGACATAGTTACCTATAATTGTCTAATTTATTATTTTGAGATAATTTATCATATAATAAATATGTTATGCATGCCTTGCTCTTCAATAATATGAATTACCTACCCTAAATCTAGTCAACATGTTACTTTATATTGATCAATTTATATTTCAATTTTATTCCTACTTTTAAATCCAAACACACTTTCATTATTATTTTCATCAAACATGACTTTGATACCACTTTTTGGCACACCATAGTTGATCCCCTCACTAAATTTTAGCAGTGGTGTAATAGTGATTGACAACTCGATCAAATATAATTATCACCAAAACCGATCCTAATTTGTTCTAATCAGGATTCAGTGGGTAGTAAATTAGTCACACTCAATCATCACCAACACAGACAATCCAATTTGATTGAATATTCATTCACATTCTCGCCCAAGTAAACATGCATAATAATTTCATAAAATATATACAAAGTTATTAAACATTAATTATATAAATATACACACTCAAAAGACTTCATAATATTGTCAAAATTGTACAATTCAAAAGTTGTACAATTTTCTACTTAGCTAATTGCCCTAATGCTCTTTAATTCTCTTTGGAAAGTAGTAACATTATCCTGGTAAGCTACAATCTTAGTGAAATAATCAATGCTAAACTATAATTTAATAAACGGAAAGAAAATAATGTGCATGCTCAACCATAATTCGCCTGAGCGATAACAATACAAAGTAAACATAATTTAATCACTGAAGTTTGTAAAAAATAATATAAAATAGTTAGTGGTAACAAACTGTAAAAAACACTTATTTCATTCGATATATTGCACAATCATGTGAATGTCTTCACTTGCTTCATACTCATTATCTGTTGTCTTAGGAATATCACTTGCATCTGTATAATCTTTAATTTAAGTCATTTCGTTGATTCATTACGAAGTCCATCCGCTATAACAACCACTCATAGTTGTTAGTCATCTCCTAAAATATTAATTATCAATAGCTCCCATAATACCAGAAGGTCTGCTTCAGTCTTAATATCAAGAGTTGGGAATTCTAAAATTTTGTCGTATTTACCTGCACAAGCCATCAGTATAATAGTCTACCTACTATAACACTTGCGATATGCCCTTAATCATTTTGACTTTTAAAAATTATTTCTCAAATGCATGTACAATTATATAATGTATCCGCAAGCAATTTGCTTATAAACATGCCGTCATAAATAATAAAATCTGTAAATTTAGTAGGGTTTGCTCAAGTTTTATTTTTCTATAACATATGTAGATATTTAGCTATACGCATAAAATTTTAAATATAATTTCTTATTAATATATTTACATCAATCGTATAGAAATATTTATTTCTTAAATTATCACATAATTATTTCACATAAATTGACGAGCAGCCTCACGATGAGTTTCCTAGACACACCTCAAGCTCATCGTCTATAGTACACACCCTACAGTCATAATTTACTAAACCTAGATTAAATTCTCAAATTATTGTCAATTATTGCTTTTCCTCAAAATTGTTCTTTTTCATTTAATCTCTACTCATTTTTCTACTGTCAACTTTTGTAATTAGTCTTTCCATATTCTTCATTGCAACAGTTCCCAAAGAAGAAAAATAAATAAATAGAACAAATAAAGAAATCTATTAGGTATACTGAAATTAAATAAATAAATTATACATAACATACATTCATTAATTGTATATCTAATTACAAGTATACATATTTGCGAAAGATTTATATATGGGTAAGATGTAAGGATCAATAGACCTTATAGGCCTCGAAAGCCCATGAAGCGAACTAAGTCCACTTGCTGAAATTTTTATACTTACAAGAAGGTTTTAGGTGCTTTATATATATATAT